CAAAGCCACAGCGGGAGGCCATGGCAGGGTCTGGGCACGCTCACTCCCAGGCCAGGCGGCAGGAGGCGGGCGGGGTGGGCAGTGAGGACCATGGGGCCAAGGCTCCAGGCTCGGGGCCGGGGTCCTGCCGCATGAAGGACACGAGGCTGGGCCCCCACGGCGCCAGGGCCCCTTCCTCTGTGCCCCGAGCTCCACCGAGAGCACAGGATGGAGCTCCGGACGCGTTTCTCTGGATTGAGCAACAGCAAATATTGTTTCACACAACAAGCCGAGAAGCGGGGACGGGCAGGGCTTGGGGGCCGTGAGGACAGACCCCTGCCTGGCCCAGCGGGAGCAGCTGTGGAACACAGTGGCTTCTCCTCACTTCGCCCCTGCAGCCTGGGGCGTGCCCCCCCCCGTGCCCCTCCTACCACTGAGCGAGGTGGACCAGGCCGCCCCTGGGTTCTAGGCGGGTGGGGAGCAAGCAGGCTCCTTCCCTGGGATGAAGGCCCCAAATGAGGGGGGGGGGCACCTCCAGGGACAGCCCGTGCCAAAGCCACTCACCTGTCGTTAATACTGAGCATCGCTGAGCTGGTGGGGTTGCAGGCCACCCCCAGATGATTGGCGGAGAATTAGAACCCCCCTGTCCCCCCAGTCCAAGTGCTGTGGGTCACCCCCTCCTTCCCACCAGCCTCAGGCCCACGCCTGCTCCCCTCGGGGCGTGCCTCAGTTTGTCCTCCCTGTCCTGGCTCCTTCCCACTTTGCCCCCCTTCCCGCCAACCCTCCACCCCATCAGGCGGCCTGGAGAGGGTGGGGGGGCCGCGGCCTGGATTCTGAGGGTGGGGGCCTTGTCCGCTCACTGTGCAGGGCCAGGACTGTTCCCAGGGCCAGAGAGTGCAAGACGTTGTGTGTCGGGGGATGGCTGCCAGCTGTGAGGGGTGATGAGGGCGGAGCTGGGCTGTGGGGGAGCCAGGGAGGGGGCGCTCTGAGCGGCACGAGCAGGAGAGAGGCCTGACCCAGGGGTGAGGGCACTGGGACCGGGTGAGGGTGGCGTCTGTACCTTTCTTCCCGGCTTCTGCGCACGGCACTGCCATCGCCCCTCGTCCAAGCACGTCCTCTCCAGGACTCCCATCGGCCCACACCGGCCCTGCCCACTGCACGCCACTCC